ACCAGAGAACAGGTGTCTTCCCATGCTTTCTGCCCAGAACAGAGGTAATTTGTATTTATTAAACTGCCTAAGAGCTCCACTAAAGATCAAATAAGTAATAATGGATGCCTAGCTTTACTTCAATTCCATATTAACTATGAAAAATAAAATACTGCTATTAATTCACCTCTAGCCTTTCTCATGCAGGGTTGTGGTAATGTTATTTGTACCTGACACATCACTTAGTGCCATAGCTTATCCTTTGCCCCACTTAAGTATTCCTCCACAGAAAAACAACTTTTGCAGGATTAAGTGCTTATAATGAAACACAAAACACAACAGCAGCTACGTTTCTGCACCTTTAAGGAAAAAAAAAAAAAAAGAAATGCCAAATGCATTTTAAACTGTCTTTAATGTCTTTACTGACTTTGTTTTTAGTTAGTACTTGCTTATGTGCCATAGAGCTTTTAATTCTTGGTCTCATTCATGAGCAGAATAGTTTCTGTTAATATTTATAAGACTAATTTTATTTGGAGACTGGAGAATCTGCTCTATTCTTTAATAATACATAATTTTATACAACAATCAGAGTAGCTAACAGAATGATTACTAAAAATAAATCACAGCTATTGAAACTACCTTCCAATACTCTCAGTATTTACCATTATACAAAACACAGGCACACTGGCTTTCCAAGTTAAAGAACTCTTAAGTGAATAAGGTTTCAAAGCAAAGATTTTTAGGAAAGCTATTCAGGCAAGTGAAATTAATTATTTTTAGTACTGTTTGCCTGTGGCATGTCCCCTGTCTTCCCCCCGCCTCCTTACCACCCACCCCAGTAACTATGATAGCACCTGATGGCAAGGATAGGATAGCTATAATTAGTCTCAGCAATAGTCTGGAACTTGAAAGCTAGTTCAAATTTTCAACTGTATGCATTGTATGTACGATAAACTCATGAATATTACATCTTTAGGAACACTGTAACGTTACATTCTTTGGTTTAGCTAAGGTGCAAAAAGTGCAAAATGGTCTGTGAGCAGACCTTTCAGACCCTGTCACTTTGAGTGTGAACATAAGAAGCAGGGGATGCAGGAGCTGGAGAATACTATCGAGCTGTACCTGTCCCAAAGTAGACTATCTGGAGCGGCTAAAGACGGATTGCCACAAGCCACTCAGCTCCATCCTCTAATCGAATAGACCATGCATCTCCTCATCAGAGCTGTAGGAAGGTGTGACAGACAAGAACTGATACTCCAGCAGTGGTCCGCCACTGCCGTACCCACTGCTACCTTTCCCTAGGAAGGGAGCTCTGTGTCAGCTGACGAGATGTTCTGTGTCAGCTGAGGAGATGTATCAGGAGGCCAGCTCAGCTAAGCAAGGAAGCCACAGCACCACTTGAATGTGAGAAGGCAGCATACAGCGTAGGGGAGGACAGACAGGCTACAAAGGAGGAACCGAGAAACACTGCCTGGGAATGTAGGGTTGGCAATTATTGTCAAGGAAGCCAAAGCTCAGACAGGCTTGCAAGGGATATCAAGGGCACAAAGAAGAGCTTCTACTGCTCTATTAGTGGTAAAAGGCTGCCCAAGAAAAGTGCGGGCCCTTGCTGAATGGGGCGGGTGATACAGCAACAGCAGACACAGATCACAGCAGGTCCCCACCACCGCCTTCGTCATCACCAGAAAGTTCTGTCAGGCATCTGCACTTAGTGACGGGGCATAAGAAGGAGACGGCCTACCAGCCAGGGATGTTTATATTAAAGAAGCATGGAAAAACCCATTGCTTACTGATTGTGATTGTGAATAAGAACAATGAAAATGTAACCCAAATTTAAGCAACACAGAAGAGAATTTCTTAGTCCTGAAATATTAGCAAGATCAAAAATTTCCTTTCTTCAATGAATTTTTAATTCCAGTGCCTACACTAACTTTCTCACTTTGGAGTAAAAAGAAAAAGAAATGACAAGTTTTGAAGCCCTAAAAATCTAGGTCAGTTATCACTCACACTAAGTAGCCATCCAAATACCACATGGGCAGAAAAAAGCCATGGCAAAACTGATGTCCTTTTTCTGAAATGGGTGGATATTTCTATTCTTTCTAAAGGCAGTAGTACAAGGCAGGTAGTCAGATCCAGCCTCATTTGTTGAATAAGTTCAGCTGTGTGAAAGATAACAGTGTCTGCCCCTTTGTTTTACAACAGAGTAAGACTTATTTGAATAGAAAAAAAATTCAGTCTAATTTTTTTTATAGACATGCACATATATAGACACACACAGACACGCCATACTATAGTGTGTATATATATGTATTTATATATACACACTGATTATTTAAAGATAGTTTTTTTCTTTTAATATTAAAATTTAGCTAGGCCTTTAAGAACTCCACACTAACTTTAGAGTTGTTAATCTAAGATTACACAATGAAAAAGCTGATGTTTAGTTCAGCACTCAAACAACATGTAGCAAGAATTTACCCATACTTTCAAAGAACCAGTAAGAGTCCCCTTTATATGTAACAAATAAATGATTGATTCTTGTTCTTACTTTTCAGTCCAGTTCCCTCTTTTGCATTCTGTTTATTATTTTCTATACAAGAGATCCCCCCAGGCTTTGACTGGGTAAGTAACCTTCAACAAGTAGGGGGGGATGTACAAAAGGCCATCCAGATCCCCAGATGTGACATACTGATACATTCTGCATTATCACACATGGCAGGAGCTCAGGAAATGCTCACTGCAAGAGGCTACATAAAGAACAATGTGTGGTGTTAGATAAATGTCTCACACTGAATATGCAGCTGAACATTAGGTCACCCAGCTTTACAAACCAAGTACAAGGCATTGCAGACTTCTGTGATAATTAGACAAAAAGTACTATTCATGTGCAAAAACAACGCTTTCCATCTTGCACCACAGGTGGCAGCGAACAACAAACTCTGATGTTCAGGATGCCTCCTCTATGTAATAAGTTCAGTTTACGCATTCTGCTGTTTTGTTATGAAACCCTTAGGATTCCCCTCAGACATAGCCAATCTCTTCTTTTCCCTGTGAATCTTGTGAAACTCAGAGACCTGGATAACTCCCCTTTTACCTACTTTACATTTTCTTACCTTTGCCACAGAAAAGAATCCATTTTACAACAATTCTCCCTATCCACAAGAGGCACTGAAATCCATTCACCAAGATCTTTTCAAAGGACAATGGCAGATATCTTTCTCCTACCTTGAAAATGTTATGTGGATGTTAAGCACTACCTTTCAGGTGAGGAAGAAATTACTTTGCTCCAGAAATAAGACTGCTGTCGCTAGACACGCCTCCCCAATTCAGTTTCCTAGCTCTTGTTAACTTACAAAGAGGCAGACTTACCAAAGCAGTACTGAGCTTGCAGCTTTACATACAGTTTATCATATGTAACAACAGTACCACAAGGCTATTTATTGTGCCACAGAAAAAAAAATCATAAAAAACTCCAAATTAATGGAAAGCCAGAACAAGAATTAAAAAAACCCCTTCTCCTGGACTACTTTCCTACATTAATCTGTATTTCCACAGATGGATCAGTGTAATCCTGGATGTACAGAAAAACAGGGGGACACCCTGCAGAAAGGGATCTTGGGGTTGTGCTGGATGGTAAGCTCAATGAGTCAGCAATGTGCCCTGGTGGCCAAAATGGCCAACCATACCCTGGGGTGTGTTAAGCACAGTGTAGCCAAGTGGCTGAAAGAAGTGGTTGTCCCACTATACTCAGCATTGCTGTGGCCTCGCCTCAAGTACTGCATGCACTTTTGGGGTCCACAATATAAGGATATAAAAATATTAGAATGTGTCCAAAGAAGGGGTCCTGGTTTCGGCTGGGATAGAGTTAATTTTCTTCCTAGTAGCAGGCATAGTGCTGTGTTTTGGATTTAGGATGAGAAGAATGCTGATAACACACTGATTTTTTAGTTGTTGCTAAGTACTGCTTATACTATTCAAGGGCTTTTTCAGCTTCCAGCTCTGCCAGGTACACAAGAAACTGGGAGGGGGCACAGCCAGGATAGTTGATCCAAACTGACCAAAGGGCTATTCCATACCATATGACATCATGCTCAGTATAGAAACCAGGGGGGGCTGGCCAGGGAGCAGCGACTGCTGCTTGGGAACTGTCTGGGTATCGGTCGGCGGGTGGTGAGCAATTGCATTGTTCATCACTTGCTTTGTATGTTATTATTATTATTACCATTATTATATTGTTATTATTATCATTACTATTTTACTTTATTTGAATTATTAAACTGTTCTTATCTCAACCCAGGAGTTTTTCTCACTCTTACTCCTCCAATTCTCTCCCCCATCCTGTCAGGGTAAGGGGAGTGAGGGAGCGGAGCGGCTGCATAGTGCTTAGTTGCTGGCTGCAGCTAAACCACGACAGAAGGGCAACAAAGATGGTGAAAGGACTAGAGGGCATGACTTGTGAGGGGCAGACGAGGATATTAGGTTTGTACAGCTTAGAGAAGAGGAGAGTCAGGGGTGACCTCATTGCTGTCTATAACTGCCTCACAACAGGGGCAGAAAGGGTGGTGGTGCCTGGTGATAGGACACGAGGGAATAGCTTAAAGCTGCATTGGGGAAGTTCAGACTAGATATTAGGAAAAAGGTCTTGAGTGAGAGAGGTGGCAAGCACTGGAACAAGCACTGGAACCCAGGGAAGTGGTCATGGCCCCAAGCCTGTTGGTGTTCAGGAAGTATTTGGACAGCAGTCTTAGATATATGGTTTATCTGGACTTGATGTGTCTCGTGGATCCCTTCCAACTCAGGATATTCCATTCTATGATTCTACGATCTCAGATCCCAACAGGTTAACTAAAATATAGGCTTCATCAGTGCTTTGACATTCATAGTTTTTCCTAATAAAATTACATGGAAAAGGAATGGAGGTTAAACAACATACAGAGCAACGTCCTGCTCTCTGTTTTGCTGACGTAAATCTAGAGCACATGTGAACACAGAAGTTTAAATAGTCAATAATTTTTACTCACTCGACAATCACGCTGTAGTGTTTTCATTAGTGCGCTGTGTGTTTCAGAGTCAAAATACAACCCTTCATGCATGTCTTGCAAGAAATCCAAGTCTTTGAATGTAGGGTTGGACTTCTCTCTCTCTTTTCTTGATGCTCTCCGTTTGTATGTGGAGCCTTTCAAGTCATATGTGAAATGCATTTTCAAGGCTCGCGGCAAAACATTGTTCATTACAACAATTCTAATATTAATGCCTCCTGACTGAACGCAGTACAGCCCATAAAATTTGGGTAGAAGAGTCCTTGGATTCTGGTTCAGATTCTAAAACAAAAGAGATATTGTTAACTATATCTATGTGCAATAAAGTTCCATGCTTAAGAAAGTTTTTTTTTTAATACCAAAGGACATTAACAATCATCAAAAAAACTGTGCATGTTTTCTTATTCAACATAGTTTCTTTGACCAGTTGATTTTCTTCATGAGTCTGTATTTCAGAAAGCTGGCATAAACACTGCCTTTTTGCCAGGAGCTTATATAGGCCAAGAGCAGAGCAGTAACTGCACTTATGCCAGGTTTCTCTTTCTCACATCCACAAAAGAGCAGACTAGGCCAAACCTAAAAGCATCCCTAAGATTTAATTTATTTATTCTGAGCTCAATAACCTTTGCATTCCACCTGCTGGAAGGAGTTTGGGTCAAATGTAGTTCTCGTTACCTTGACTTGGGATTCTGAAAAACAGAACCCCTGTCTCCATGAGGCTTTTCATGTTGAGGGTTAGTGCCAAATGACCAAGTTGTCTCCACAGGAGTATGAGATCATAACAGAAGCACAACTGACCATCAGAACAGAAAAGTGTGAAATAATCCAAATTCCACAACAGGCAAAAAATTTACTAGCAGAGGATAAGAGAGGTGAGAGCGAAAATCGTCCCTCTGAATACAACTGCTCTCGGGTTTTGGCATGAAAAAGCAAGAAGGGGAAAAACTACTTCAAGTCTTACATGATTACTAAGTCATAACATACAACTATGGGAAGAAAGTACTTTCATAGGAAATAAGCACAGTGATTAAAGTTTTGCACTTTGGAAACCCTTGCATATGGTAGCAATGAGAATGAAGTTCCCAGAAACAAAGCAAAGTGGTCTTATATTTACTTATAATAACTCAAACTTATGCTGAGCTGATTATCATGATTAGAAACAACAACACAAAAAGTACCTGCCACCATTGCTCTTTTGATGCTGTCAGTGCATAATTTTTTTTAAACAAACAGTGAATCCATGTTACTTTAGTGTAATAATGACAATATTTCTCATTTTTAGTACAAATGAGAGGGTAACTTTTCAAGAGTTTGCTTAAGAAAGCAAAGAAAGAAATGAAAGCTAGTCACAGGTCTAATACTCAAAAATCTTGCATGTTACCCACAAGAATCTCTGTTCATACGTATGAGTGCCTTTTGTGGGTTTTTTGTTTTGGTTTGGTTTTGGTTTTTTTTTTTTAAAAAAAGGAGAATTAAGTTCTACTTTGGATCAATGGTTTCCCTTTCTGATGACTGACACACATAAACCAATACAATGACTTAGCATTGGCCCTCGAAAAGCTCCATTTAAAAATAATTAAGTTTTGAACAAATCATATGGATAAAAATATTTTTACATCATTGTTTTAATACATGAGAAATGGAAATTAGAAGTAGTCCAGAAACAAAAGTGAAACTGGTCTAGTTTATTTGTCCACTCTGAGTGAAATGCAGATGGTAGACAAACACAAAATGGAGAAAAAAAGTTGAATTAGAAAGTCAGAAACCTTTTTTTGTTACTAGCGTATTAGAAGCAAAGTTTGGTATCAAATCAGAAGATGACATTCAGCTTCATCTTGAATGCTAGAAGAACAGCAATTATTATCTTAAATATATTCCTGATTTATATCTACTCTTTCTGTGGGTGTGTGGGGTACAAAGTTGAAAGACAGGTAAAAAAATGTCAAAATATTATGAAAAACATGGACAAAGCCAATGAAAGATTAAAAGACAACAAATTAAACTGAATCTTCAAAAGTGTGACATGAAACAGGTAAAATACAGTCTTCAATTACTTACCATATAATAACCTGGCAAGAGCTTCTGAAGAAACTCGGCCTCTTTGTGTTGAACTGTTTTGATGATGAACTCGTCATCACTAGTTACAAAAAACAGGGACCCACTAGCACCTGGGTTGGATAATTCAATTAAAGGCTCACTGCAGATTGAGTACTGGAAGAGACAAAAATTGTTTTTCACTGCCAATGCATGCGTTGCTCAAGCACAAGTTTAATACAAAGAACTGCACGTTCAGATAGGCACAGGAAAATTATGGAGCTTATTCTTTGGGCTTCAACTGCAACAATTCTACAGCAAGCTGAGTCAGCAATTTGGCTGAGATTTAGCAGGGCAGTTGTTACAATCCACTCTGTCCAGGACACGCTGCACAACCGTGGAAGAGCAGTTGGCAGCTGAGCATACAGTCCCTCTTCACGTCCCACTGCACCAGCTGAACTTTCCCTGGAGTGAAGCAAGTGGTTGAGGTGGAGAGAGTCCATCCCTATACCATCAGCATTGCAAATTCTTGAGTCAGGAGCCTTAAGATGACATTTTCACTGCAACTGTTCGCTTTTCACAGCCATTTATGAAACAGGTACAGGAAGATGTCAGACAAACACACTGGGAGTAGAGGTTTCTCATCATAGACAAACAGGCAAGTCCTCTTCTGTGAAATTGGGATTGAAACCATTAGAATAATAATCTCAGTATAGCTTCTAATGTAGTTTTCTGATTGAGAACTGCTTGAAAGAGAAAAATTAAGTACCAGTAAGTAGGAAAAATTGAATTAGGTTTTGGAGGACCATTATTTTGGATGCTTAGAAAGCTTTCTCTTCCACAGGAAGACAGTAATAATTACAATCACATTAAGGCAGAAAAAGACACCAGGGAGTATTCCTTAGTAGTAGAAGCAGATCTCACACAGAGACTAATGTACATTTATTAAATCTCCATTAATTCACATGTCGTGCTTCATTTAAACTAAATGGAGAGGAGACATTAAGCTCAAAACCAGAGAAAAATCTGTTTGTATTAAACTCAAGAGCTTGTTTAAAATATAGTATCGTTAAACTTTCATTCACACTCTTTTCCCTTGTTATATATCATCAATTTTACACACTTGGAGATTTACTGTACAGTCCAATATTTTAAGGCTTCAGTCTTTGATAAAAACAAAATTACACAGGATGTGAATTGTGAGTAGTGCAAGCACCAGGGAATTATTCTTAGCAGTGCAGTATGTCTTCTGGTCTTCTCAGAACAAAACGAATAACTGTTTCAGTAACAAAATATCTGGTTTCTTGGGTCATTGCCTAAGATGAGTTGAACAATTCCACAAGAAAAAACACTTTTGTTTGTTGAAAACAGCTTTCATGAAATTCAACTGGATTTTTGCCATTGATTTCAGCAGGTGGTGACAGCAAAGAAAAGTGATACAAGAAAACCTAACAAATATGTTCTTTTGTGAGTACTTGAACTAAAGAAGCATGCTTCCCATGGACTCAAACCACTGCCTTAATGCATTTTTCTTATCCTGGCTCCAGCTGAGGCTTTTCCCATGCCTGCAATTTCTGAGAGACTTTTGCATGCTGTAAAAATGTTGCCTGTTGGTCTCCCTCCTTCTCCAGTTCACTCAGTTCCAATTAATACAAGAGACCTTTCTTATTCCTATATTTGCAATTGCCTATAGATAGAACAGCAATACTGGTCTGTAACACTACAGACTTTCAGAGCAAATCACCAGTTGTATTGCAAGCCCTGCATTTTTCTTGCCAAAATGTATAAAGCTTCACAAGTAATTGTCATTGTTGTAAGCATTTGAAAGCAATTACCCTAAACCTTAAAGCTCAATAAAACAGTGTAGCATAAACACAAGTTATTAACCTACACTATGTGCTGGTCATTTTGCAGTTGAGTTCATTCCTGCAAAATGAAAGTCTACCCACCAAGTGCTGCTATACAAAGAGCCCAGCTAATTTTGACTGGACACTTATGAAAGCCAACTCAAAACTGAAAAGTAAGAAAATCCCCAAGCCCCTGCCAATTAAGTACTTCATGATCAAGAAGTTTCCATGCAAAACGCCAGTACTCCATGAGGTTTGCAGTGACAACTTAATTCTACCAGCTGTTCAAATGTATTTACCCTTGTTATCCAGTCTGACTCCTACAGCGCATTACCACTCAACCTCCTTGGAAAACATGAAACTGTAAATCCCTGGGCTTTGTCATTGCAAATTAACAGTGTAAACTCACATATGCTAGCTGTTATTTCTTCTCTTTTTACTTTACTTCCCTTCCCTTTCAGCCATGGTTGGCATATTGTTACAGTAAAGTGTTTCAGACACTGAACTGGAGTTACAGTCTCTACATGACAAATCCAGATTTCACAGAAACAAGAGGAACTGTTCAGCCAGAACCCTGACACATGTTATTGGGCGCAAACTCTTAAAAAGTGTTTTGGTCATAACCAAATGGGAAGAGGGTCCCAAACTAAAAATAGTTTTGTTTTATGACCATAATATCCCTCTGACCACATCTGCCTCTGGACCACAAGGGACTGCAACCTGCTCTGATTGCAAAGTGATGCCCATTTAGAATCAGAAACAACAGAAATAGATTCTAACATTCTTGCAGAGCAAGTATTACCCTAGCAGAGGCATGCATCAGTTACAACACCACATACTGAAATTCCAACTGTATTTCACAAAAATACCTGTTTCTTGAAGGAAATCTGCTTTTGCATTTTCAAGAAAAGAAGGTGCACTTAATCTTGAAACTAGCTTTTCTAATTGCCCCTTTTCCTTTGAAACATACTGCTAGTGTCTTTTGCTGTGCCAAGAGGAAAAAGACTGCAACAAGTTGCCTTTACTAGGAAGTTCCCTCAGGGATTAGTCATTTTGTAGCTAAACTGAGCATCACAAGTCTTATCAACAGCATGCAGTCTTTCTCTAATCTTTAAATTATGCTACTGCAAATCCTTCCCTAGATGGTATAGAAGTTGCAGGTGACAACAGCTTTACTGTAAGAAGTACAGTCTTTTTAGCAGCTGGCAACACAGCCCAAATACATCAACTTTCACCAGGTCCATGAAAGAAGACAGATAAACAACATATTACATAATGACACCTTTATAAAACTCCAACCCAACTGCAATTCTCTGCCACCAACATCTATAATTCAAAGGAATGATCTGTTTTCATATATAACTATTGTCATGAGGGCTAGTAATACAAAATCCGTACATAGTACTAAGAATTAAAATCTGACACCCACATTCAACCTAAATAAAAGCAAAACTAGCTAAGTTTTGCTTTTAGGCTTACTGTCGAAGAAGGAAAAAAACCTTATAACACACTTGAACACCCCAGAAGTTAGTGAAGTAATACATTAAGTAATGTTTCAACACCATTTAATCAATTTTACTGTTTTTATTCATTCAAGCTCTTTCAAACTGTTTTGGTTTTGAAGAAACAGTTATCAATAATGGAACAAAAAGATCTAAAAACTCATTAAAAATAAATTAACTATAAAACTCTGACATACAAAATTGCTAATTTGTACTGGGACTCTGATTTGCTGGGTGGACCGGCATGAGACAAACCAGACATGAGGCAAACATCTAGAAAACAATCCAGCCCTTTGCTTTCACACTACCCTTCCAAAAGCAGAACTACAGGAGAAGTGGATCCTCACCCCCGGGTGTGCACAAAGTGGTTCTACCAAATAAAGCCTGCTTTTATGACAGCAGCAAATGCATTGCTTTTTTCTCACATAAACAGTTGAACACTGAGAAGTCTTCAAACTATAAAAAACAGAGAACAAAGGAGATACTCTAAAATGCTTCTTTTTTAGCCCACCACCCACTTTTCTCAAGGCTAGATGGGAACATTTGCAGACAAACACTTATTTAATGAAGTGAACAAATAAAACAAATAACACAAGAGTACTTCATTAGAACGGAATTGGTAGAATTCACACAAGTACTGATTATAACTTCTCTACAAACAATGACCTGAATAAGCAGTAATACTCAAGTTACTCTAGTCAATTAACAAGGCAGGTTTTTATGGGAATCATCTCAAAGAATTAAAAATTTTTTAAAACACTAAAAATATTCACTAGTTATAAACCACTCCACATGCAAAACTTACTACCCATTTGGGCACTATTAAAACATCCTCTTCTGTCACTGTGAAACTAGTATACATTATAATAATTTGTAACTCAAAGGAAAACTGCAGGCTCTTACCAAGTAATCACCAGGCTTGATACCAAAAAGTTCTCTGAAATAGCGGAAGGCAAGAGGTGCATACGTCTTAAATCTGAAGTCAGGGTAATGATGAGCAGGAGTGAGATTGCTCCCTTCACTGAAAACAAAAACAAAAGTAAGCTGAACCCAATTATTACTGAGCAATTTTTAACAACTTCCTTCTTGCAGCTAGTTTTACTGTAAAGCTGCCTAACTCAACCATTGGCCTTCTGAGACAAGAGTCATAAATGCAATAAACCTCATATCACAGTGTAATAGAAATGTCTGTGAGAGACAGAATACTGCCAGCAAATTCCTTTCTCCTGCCTATAAAGGCAATTACTATTTTCACCACCCATATCCATTTGCATAAAGATCAGGTTTAAACTAATGCCACAACTTCTGATAGCCCTCCAAGGTAAACCATTCTAATGGCTTACCAACACAGGAAGGGTCACCCCACCTCATGTAAGCTCTTACAAAAAGTTTGGAAGTCAGTACAGCAAAACAACTTCACACTAGTTTGGTGACCTGAACTGGTTTGCAGGGGAGTCAGACAGATACTAAGGACAGCACAGAGGGCAGAAGTGTGCAGCCAAAGCAGTGGGAAGGAAGCAGGACTATGTATGTTTTTTAGTCCCAGCAAACACTGACTGATTCAGCCTTATGTATGAAACTGCATCCTCAGCATCAGTCTCTTCTGCAGGCTAAGTGCAGTTACAGTATGTCTGTCTTGCTAGTACAGTCCAGAATTGGGAAGCCACTCTGGCTTTGCTGACCTTAAAGTGTTTTTCTGTTTGTCTGCCTGTCACATCACATATTTTAACCCCCCTCAATCTAAACCAGCACTAGCTTACATGCTCAGTTGGTTAAATAGGAACACAGGGTACAGACCCTTTGGGGAATTCTGGAAAATGGTATGCAGTTACATGCAAGATACAGATTCAAACTCAAGAGGCACAGACAAAGACTACTAGGATGACCAGACTGGATGACAGTCTTCCTTAAGAGGGGTGGGGAGGGAAATCATTGTAGCCTCCTTAGCTGTTTTCCTTGTTTTATATACCATCTCATTGTATTTTTAGGCTGCAGTTGTATGAGTCTTGAGATGAATACTACATGATTTAAGCTAAAGGAAAATGTCAGCAGCAAAATGCTGCCAGAAGAAAAAAATATATACTGCCTGTGGGTTCATTTATGATGGAAGCTAAAAGAAGGCTTTTAAGCAGAAGAGTAAAGTGCTACACTATGATATCAACACAAACAGGAACTGTTTTTAGACAGCTTGGTCAGTCTCTGAACGGTTTGATAAATAGATGAGTACATAATCCAAGACTTGACACAGTTGCCAAAATCAGCTCTTCCAGCACTTCTTTAGTCATTCACCCTAACTAAATTATTCAGAAATGCAGCATGTACCTCTATGCTTGGCAATAAGACTATCGAAAGTATACAAAGAAGGAAAGAAAAAAAAAAAGAAAAAAGCTAGGTATTCACACAGGTATGAAAAGGAATAAACTCTAAGCAACATTCCTACAAAGACTATATTAAGTATCATGAAAACACTTAAGAGCTTTGATTCTGTACAATTAGTGCTTGTCCTATGAACTTGTCACCTTCCATTAATAACAATTCGATGACAGAAGTCTACCCAACCCACCCAGCTGCCCCTGCATGCATACCACCAAAACCCAACAGAACTGAACTGCTGCTAATTAAACAGTGTGACCTGGAGAACTAGCTTTTGCAGGCTCCAGAAATGCATATACTTTAGACTCTTGAATAGAAGATGAAAGGAGGGAAAAATCCACCTGATTTCTGCCTGGAAATCACAAATAAAAAGATGGTTGTGGATGACCAAGCATGCATACATACAAAAGCATTAAAATACTGCAGCTTCTTGCAGTGCTAAACCATACAATTAACAGCTAGTGAAGGCTGTGTAGTCCTAATGAACTTGTCTGATAACTTTATAGTCTACTGTATCACAACTCCAAGGTATTAAAGTCAAATCCACATGTATTTTATTGTTCCATTACATAGTAAAAAAATGGAAATCAATAGGATACTAGGCTGAAGACGGTAGTTTTTCTTTGCAGTTAAGATTGGATATTGCTTTTTCTTATAAGGTCTTTCAGCTGCTGAGAACACTGCCAGTCTTGTCTGACATTAAGTTTTAAACACCTGGATGCATCTCATTGACTTTTTGTGCAATATGAGGATGCCACAGGGGTAATATATAGCTATACTGGGAACCCGGAGGGCATATTTGTAAATGTATTTAATTGTTGTACGATGTGGACAAGAACAGAACAGAGTGTTCTCTGCCAAAGCATCACATCATTGTCAGGGAAGATTAATCATCTAAACTTTATAAAAAAGCCCTACCTTTCAGTACATAAATACCTTCATAAATCTGCTTCCTGCAGCCATAACTCAAAAGCTGCTTTTGTGAAAGCATGGCAATAAATAGATTACATGACCTTACTACACCAGAACATGTACTGTTGTTGGAACTTCACCAGGTTGAAATGAAGATAGGAGGTTTGCTATAATACCACGGGTCCAAGCCATTTCATAAGTGCATAGAGAGTAAAATGACCAATACTGGGTCTGTAGGTAGACAGGAATGCATAGTCAGTGGAAATTTATTCCAGAATAATTGCAAAACAGAGCAATTATTTTGGAATGGCACCTACCCAAAGGGCAACTCCATGTATTTAGAGCACATGAGCTTACTTTATTACAGATATGACAGTCAATTTCACTATGCAGACAAGTTTCCTTGTTTTTTGTAAAATCATCTTTAAAAATCCCTCTTACTGGAGGTCTACAGAGCTTTTTATCATACCCTACCATTTGTGTTGAACATATGAATTAGTTTCAGCTTCATTGCCTAATAGAACAGTTTACAGGATCCCAACAGTAAGCTCTTCTGTGATGCAAGAAGCAAGCTTGACACAAACTTAAGATTTCTTGGTTACCTCTCTGGAAGAAAATTCGTAAGGTTTCCTTGTTGCTACTTTTAACAGAAAAAGCACCCTCACTTCCAGTAATTTCCTACAGTAATGGAAAACCTTCAAACGCCTTGTGGCTGAGTATGTCCTTGCTCTTACCTGAAAAGGACAGTTTCCATTGTATGGAAGGCTTGATGTAAATACATCTCTACCTTATTTAGACATGCAATTATTCACCTTCCACTCTATTAGCTCTTGAGAGAATGTATTTTGTAGTTCCTTCCCACATTTTCTTGGTGCATTTCACAAGTGTGTTTCACTCTGGCTGGGTTAAAGCATATGTGCAAAGCACTACATATAACAACTTTTAATCAGGCTAGGAAGTTCCATGGGGACAATTATGTCTTTGAAGTTGAACAAGAAAAATACCCATGATCTGTTGACAAAAAACCTTAATCTGCAAAATAGAGCTTTAGACATAATAGAAATGTACTCCATTAAAAAAAAAAAAAGTGGCTAACCATATAGATATCTACATATAGATAATTTAGGGCACAGGTCTACCAGAAAAAAAATTAAAGGAAAAATAAAGGCTTTTAATACCAGCTTTGATTCTGCCAATCTTGAGGAATTCAAGTCTCTGTATACGAGCTATGACAAACAATATAGGCTTTGGAAAGATTAGGAAGCAATTGTAATTTATGAGGTATTTTAATAACCTTAGCTGTAAGACCACACAAAAGCAAAAGATTGGTAGGTAGAGTTAAAAAAAAAAAAAAAGAGAGATTAAGCTTACTACGCGAGTTTGCTTTAATACTTAAATTTTTGGGGTTTTTAATTTTTAAATCAAGCACACCTAGAAATGACAGTATGTGCATCTTAACCTGTCTCTTAGCAAATGCTGAGGGTTGATTTAAGTGCAGGTGGTGTAATTATATTTTTAATGGCTAACCCTGTGGCTTGCAAAAATTTTGCTAAACAAGACACCCAGATATGTTTCTTGGCAGCTTTTCTTTACTATGGCCTCGCCCTGGTAGGATGTACTCAGGAGATAGCAGACCTATCTGAAGGGGCAGAGAAGGCTAGCTGCATCTCTTGGTAGCAAGCCTTTCACTGCAGAGCAATGTTAATAGGCTCTGATGTAGCTGTTTACAAAAGAAGTAGTCACACTGTAGTTGTGGGCCCATGTATGTAATGCAAAAAGGCTGAAGAGGAGGAACACCTCAGTTCTCTCATGTGATAGCACCTCTTTTTTAAATCTTATAATCAAAATAAAACATCTAAAATTAAATGCTTCCAATATTAAAAACTGAGAGCATCCAATCTCAGTTTCACTGTTCTTGGATAAAGCTGCTCTTTTACCATACATCAACATGTGTTTAAACTCTACAAACTGTACCAAATAAATACATACTGAGAGATCAGGTAGTGCTTTGGAGTATTCATCTCCTATATATCATTTCAGGAAAGCAATTGTTTCCCACATAATGGAAGTAGGTATTATGGCTACCTGTACAAATAGGTGTGTGTTTGGTTTTTTTCATACTGTGGGATAAAGTCCAGCGGTAATATCCTTGTTTCTCACTGTACGTTCTCCTATACTTTCGGTTACTACATGCTATCCTGAGCAGTGCCCTGCAAGGCAGCTTTAAAATAAAACTATGAATAGTAAATATCTTCAAAACAAGTCCAGCCAATCTTATCTATATAAAAGCTGAACATACAGACATTTTCTTATGATGATGATATGACTATTTCACAACCAACTGGAGATGCCATTAAAGCAAAGGATCTCAGAGTATTTTAAAAATAGTTTAAGTATGTCTACATAACCACTGAAGTATCCAGGTTATCACAGGTTTACCAAGAATCTGACACTAACAGAAGCAGTGAAGACCAGTAATTCATAATGAACAAGTTTTTGCTTTTGTTGCCACACTATCCCCATTTCAAATACTATTTTTTTTTTTTGCAAACAGAAATGAATTCCTCCTATCTGCGCTATCACTCTACTCACAAACCATAACAAGTGTGTCAAAACTTGGGTCATCCTATGCATCTCTGCAACCAAAGTGCCAAACAAGAGTAGCAGTGCTTTATCAAAGCCTTCAGGCCACTTTCTTATCTGTCTTGTGAAACTGCCGAAGTGGAAACAAATACA